GAGGATGGACTACCAACTACTTCGGAGTCTTCCCCACTTCCCCCATGCCTGCCCGAACCACTCGGGCCGGGAGTACTCATACCTGGGGCAGCTACACTAACTCCAATCGGTACCCCAATCGGGACGCCCTCTTCGAGCATCATCACTATGGTTGGGGCACGCTCATACTTATCCCTAGCATTTACCACCAATTCACTCAAGCTAGCCGATTTAGAATCTGACAGTTGGCTTGATCGCCCAACCCAACCTACCGATTCAAGCCTTGCTCCTGACTCCCAAAAATTCAAAGTGCTAAGTGAACACTAGGCCCGAGCTACCGACCAAACAAGCCCACAAACATAGTAATCACTCACCCCTTAGTACCGGTCGACCTACTCGGAAACTTCACTCCTAAACTCTGGTCGACCTTACCTGCCGACCGACATGGTCCTAGTTCAAGTCTTCGTTCGCTTGCCCTATTTGACCGACTCGCCTTCAATCCAACACTGAGCCTATCCACCCTTGCCCATCGATTCACTAACTCAAAATCATCCGCTCAGTCCGGACGATCGACCACCCCTTTTTTGCGCACGCCCCCTCTCTACTCGGTCAGATGGACCAGACGACCTATCTCCCCTACAACTCCCCAAGCTATCACCCTATTTGGTCAGGCAGACCAACCAAACCAAATTATACTTAACTCGACTTCTCCTTCCCGATTCCGTCCAATACGCCTGAAAAACACCAAAAAACCAGCCAACTTGCTGGAAAATCACCAAGAATACCAAAATCCATGCCTATTCTAAAAATCTGTACTCTAAACTCCTCAAAACTAGTCAAAACTATTCAAAGGTTAAAAACTTCACCCTATTTTTCCAAGACATCAGCCAACAACCAAGACAAACACAAAGAAGAAACAAAGAGACGTCATGAAAGAAGATTGTTTACCGTGAAAAAGTCGGAGTCTACCGAGAGAAGCTGCCGTCACTAAAATGAAACTGAAAATGTAGAAGAAAAAACTTTGGTTCTGTAGAAAAACAGAGGAAAACTGCAAATGGGAGACGAACGGTCTGTTCATTTGTTTTTAAAAGGAAAAACTGACTGGCTAAAACACGTGGCGGCCCATGATTGGCTAAGAGCTAGAACACCTTTTCATTTTCCCGCCTCGAAAACCAGGATTTGATCTCCGTCGAACACGTGGCAAGCATCCGTGGCACCTAGGAAACTGCAATGGCGTACAAAAGTCTGGATCGACCGCCCTAACCTCCCGACCGAGCCAGCACGCGCCCGCCAATGGACCCAACATGCCCCCGTGATCCACAAGCTCAGGAGGTCCTCCTGACTAGTCAATCAGCTTCGAACGGCACGGCTCGAGCTCTCAGATGAAAAAAGCAGGGGCCTCGCCCATTCGTTCTTCCGTAGCGGACAAGTGGGCAACAAATATCGAAGCTCTCCTCTTCCAATCCATCGCCCGATCCTCCCGACCGACTCAACCCTTGACTTCTAAAGGCATTCAAAATATCCCATGCTTCACCGGCCCAGCAAGTCTGGCCGACCAGTTGATCAGCTTGGAACGGCCCAATGCCAACCCTCTTCAGAAGAACAAGGCAGGAGGCCTCGACCGTTCGCCCTTCCGAAGCGGACGATTGGAAAGTCTTTGATTGAGGTCTGCTATCTCGTCCACCCGATCGCCCATGTACTCTGACCGAGCGAACCTTTATTTCAATATTATCCTTAATTCAGTCGACTTGACATGACGAGCGAAAACCCTAACTATTCTACTGCAGCTCACCTCTCTAGTCGGTCGGATGTACCGAACGAGCGCATGAGCCCCCGAGGCCTGGTTGTCTCTTTCCCTTCGGCCCTTCACACCGATTAGGCGCACTACTTTGCAATGATGGCATACTTCGGATCAGGAATGAATACCGAACGACGTCCAACCAAGAATCACCTGCCACAGTCAAATCGTCCACGCCGATAATCGTTCGTCCACGAAGGAAGACCGAGCTTGCCTCGATCGCTACCTACTCTCTAACTTAAGAAACTCTTAACTCAAAGAGTAGGGGACAAACTGTTACGGCAAAAAATCATCCTTGGCCTAAATAGGCAAACAGGACCACCAGTGAAGAAAAGACCAGGCCCAATCTCAAAGAGGCCCAAGCCAAATTAGTCTCATTTGATATGAGATGCAGCCTGCCCCAAACCATCTAGGCATGGGCCTCCCAGTTCCAGCTCACTTCATGGGTCTATAGGCGAGTTCAGAGCCCACGGCCCCCACTGATCACATTCCTATTCCTGATCAGTCTCTTATTTGAAGTCACTTTCCTGTTCAGATCACCTTCCTACTCGAACGCTGGTAAGATAGCTCATCGCCGCCCTAACTCTTCTAGGGTTTGCATCAGAGTCACATTAGGACTCCTACTCCCACCAGGATTGGGAGACCAGACAGTCACTATATAAACAAAGGCCAGCCCTCTCACAAAGGACACATTACACTACACCTTCATACCTGAAGCTTCTACTTGAGAGCTTCACATCACTGCCGTAGTCACAGTGTCCGACTAGACTTCCGATAACCTCTTTACTCCTTAGCTCTCACTATACTAGCCTCTTTCAGCCTTGCTAACTTGAGCGTCGGAGTGCCTATGGCAAACACCACCCCAATGTTTCCCGTTTGCTTCACGCGTTTGTTTCTCTACGTGTGCAGGTGCAGTGGATCGCTAGTGGCCTCAACCTCACGGGATCAGACCCCCCTTTCATACAGGTAGAATTTTACGTCTACATTTATAATTTAGTCGTAAATTACAATATCAAACTCCTTAATCAAGTTGTGTTCTAAGCAACTTTTATACATTACATTTACTTTTTGTCATCATTCATCACCCTTTCTTCTTTTCTTCAAGGAACTGGAAAATCTTATTACCGTTACCAAAATTATGCCTTACGAAACAGAAGAAACCGTCGCTAATTTAATTAAAATATCCCAAGTTTTAAGTCATAATTCATGGCTTGTTCCACACGACAGTTTGCACCATTTTATTTCATTATGAAAAATGCTACGGACACCGACGCTTTACACCAAATTTTTATACCGAACGATGTGTCCACTAAATCAAACAAGCCACGTATCACATTAACAAATATCTGCGAACGAACAGTCATCTATCAAATATGGACGACCGTCCACTGTTATTGGGAGGCCGTTCATTTGAAATGGACGTGGTCCACATTATATGGACAGCCGTCCACCTAGAATGGATGTCCGTTCATAGTTTAAACTAAAAAAAAAAAAAATTGGCCTAAATTATTAATGGATGCCCGTCCTCATCTTTTAATATTAACAAATTTTAAATTTACTTAATGCATTAATTGTGAATCCTAATTGAGTTAGTCCCTTATTCTTATGACACTTGTCCAATTACTTTGAATATAGACAAAAAATTAATGAAGATAGAGACATTTACAGACTAAAATGTTGTAAAAAATTTTAAATCAAACAATGGACAGACGTCCATCTAAAAGGGACGACTATCCATAATTCTTGTTTTAATTTTTTTTTTTTATTTTAAACAATGGACGGGCATCTATTCTAGGTGAACGCTCGTCCATAGTAAATGGACTCTCGTCCATATTATATGAACGGGAGTCCATTGTTATTTTCTCATAGACGGGCATCCATTATAGGTGAACGGCCATCCAATAATCATGTACGCCCGTCCAATAATCACGGATGCCCATTATTTTGCTTTTAAAATTTTTTGGACGAGCGTTCATCTTATATGGATGCCCGTCCATAGTAAATAGACACTCGTCCATACGGGCGTCGATTATTTTTCTTTTGAAAATTTTGGTTGGGCGTCCATCTTATATGAACGGGAGTCCATTAAATATGGGCGGGCGTTCATAAATGTTGGACGACCGTTCATTCACGAAAGACTTCAGCATGGTCGCGTCTGACTGGTTGCCATGTCTTTCGGTACAAAAATTCGGTGTAAAATTTCGGTGTCCGTAGCATTACTCTTTCATAATTTAAAGGAAGACTTTCACAAAACTATTTCATAATCAAATGAAAAACTTTTTTTTTTTTAATTAAATACTACATTTATAATCTAATCTCACAACCATAATGTGTCAGCAAATTGTCACTGTCATGTCAACTCCCACTACACCCAAGACACACCCAAAAACTACTAGAAATGAATGTTCATTCCTTTAGAATGAATGGTCGTTACTTATGAAGGAACAATCATTCTTTCGTAATTAAGGAATAGTCATACCTTTGATTGTTCCTTAGGAAACAACTTAAGGAATAGTTATTCCTTTTATAAGGAACAGTTATACCCTCCATTAAGAATGATTGTTCCTTATTTATGAACGATAATTCATTTGATTGTTCCTTCATAAGGAACTATTATTCCTTTTGTCCTTATAAAGAAACGATCGTTTCTTTGATCTAATCAAAATTATTTTGATGTGACAGTTTCAACTTAACTATTAAATCGAGAGTTGAAAGAGAAATTTGTGAAAAAAGATGATTGGTATAGCATTTGTATACTGAAGCCATTGTACTCCCCATGGACGAAGTCAAAAGACTCAAAACGCCACATGTATCATACATCAGTAAATAAACAGACAATAAAGAAAGGAGGAAAATGATAGGGTTAAATATGTAAATACATCCCTACTTCATTGTAAGTGGGACCACGAATAACACATACTTGCCACGCCCCCATTGTACCACCAGCATAAGAAACGGACGTGTAACAAAATCCCGTAGTCGTACATCATTCCCATCCACCGTCCAAAAACTCTATCCACTGGGACCCACATCTACCCCAACATTAGACGGAGAATATACAGTCAGGAGGACTCACAATTAGATAAAAAAAAAAAAGAACTCGGTTAATGGACTCCACAAGAAAAATAAAGGAAAAGAACAAGGGCAAAAATGACCAACAAAAACAAAGGCGCAAAGGCGCAGTATCAGAAAGTGGAAACAAGCTTTGCTATACCATATAGTATATATATATATACACAGTGAGTCACGCGTACACAGATGACCTAACCTCCCTTTCTCTTCTTCACCATCACACTCTAATTGAAGGTGTCTCTGAACCAAACTCATTTTCGAGCTCTCTCTTCGCTGCCTGCGTCTAGGGTTTCTTTCTCTCTCTCTCTTTTTAAATTATTTGCTTTATCGGCACATGTGATATATGCTGACATGGCAACCGCACCAATGAAGTCACACCCGCTGCACAACTTCTCTTTGCCGTTTCTTAAATGGGGGGCCACCACCAGCGCCACTACTCAGCAACACAACAGAGGGCAAATGCCACCTCCCGCCGACTCCTCCGAACCCGACAACGACGGCGATGCCGACCACCACAATGATTCCGTACGTCCTCACCGCGTCGGATCCCGCTCCTCCCGCGTGCAACGATTGTCCTTCTCCTCGTCGACGAAAGCTCAGAAGGATGAGAGTGAGAGGTTGCAGAAACAGACGAAGGGCGGGGAGGTTGAGAAGAACGAAACTGAAGAAGAGGACGAAGAACGCGAACACGAACGCGAAGAAGAAGAAGTAGTAGTTGGGAAGCCGTGGAATTTGAGGCCGAGGAAGGGAGTTCAAGAACCGTTGGTGATTGCGGGGCTTATGGAGGGTCATAATCACAGCGGGAATGATGTAAATACGAAGCCGAAGTCGATGAGATTAAGAGAGATGGTGGAATCGAAAGGTGGTCATGGTGAAAAGAGGGAAAAGAGCAGGTTTTGGCTGACTTTGTCGAGAGAAGAGATTGAAGAGGATATTTTTGTCATGACGGGTTCAAGACCGGCCCGTCGGCCCAGGAAGCGCCCCAAAAATATCCAGAAACAGCTCGATGTAATCGATCTTTTTCTTCCACTTCTTTTGCCTCTAGCTTTTTCTTTGTTGATCGTGTGTTGATTGAAAAAATCGGTGTTTTTGTAGAATGTTTTTCCTGGGCTGTGGTTGGTGGGACTTACCGTTGATGCTTATCGTGTCACTGACGCTCCAATGAAGGTTTGTTATATTATTTTCAATTTTCATGAGTTTTTGGTAGCTGATATTAAATTTTGATTTTGCTTGTTTTTGTAGAAATAAAATCGCGCATAGATACTCGTTCGGGTCTTCTGTACAAAGGTCTTGTTTCACTTCCCTCTAGTTAATTTTTCTTTTATTTTTATTTTTATGAGGGAAACTGAGAGTTTGATGATGATTGTTGCAGAGGACGATGTAGTTACAACTTACAACGAATTTGGGAATTTTCAAAGCGTATATGGGAGTTTGTGAAGATTGCATCTACAATATTGAACCTCAATTTGAGGTATAATGAAAATTTGTAAAAAGGAAGGGAAGTTATTTTCAGAAGAAAAAGAAAGATTAAAAGAGAAAATAGGAAAAAGGGAAAGTCCATTGCTGTAGGATGCAGGGGTAGGATTTAGTTTATTTACTTGTAGCTTTACGATGTAAACGGTTGACTTAAATATGGATGAGTAGAGAGAACTTGAGTGTTTTAATTGTAGGATATTGTGAGTGGTATTGTGTTTTGGGTTATTTGTTCTAATTTGTTGATTACTTACTATATTTGACAGGCTTCCCTACATCGTTGGGGGGCAGAGTAGCAAGCATGTATTTAGTTTGCAAACCCTTATCAGATGCAGGATTTATTATTGGAGGCACTGCATGCTTCCCTTGACTGGAAGAGTCATACTTCATTGAACTGAGCTTCATCAAAAGCAAACCTGATGAGGTCTTAAGTTTATATGTGCTATATTGACTTCATTTTTACTCCTTCTTGGTCTTTCCATTTTGCATTTTAATAATCATAGTCACTGCACCACCACTACCCAGTTAATAGTTGTAAATAAATGTAATCTATGCTATCTGGAATGTTTAGAATGCGGTGGAAAATAATCATGCATAGTCCTGTAGTTGCTTTTAGATTTTCTGATCTCACGGAAGATTCTGCGTTCTCTGTTACATTTTGGTGAGGCATGTGTTGGTGTATGCAAATTTTTAATGTTGGAATGGCAGCTCTGTTATCATTTTCATAATACCCTTGTTACTGTTTCGATTGATGATCAATTGTCGATCTCATATTTGTAGTTACCCTTGTTAGGTGAAGTTGAGTTGGATTGATGATCAATTATCGATCATCTTCATAGTGCCCATAGTACCCTTAGTTAGGTGACGTTAATTTAGATTCATGATCAATTGTCAATTTCATCTTGTCTTTGTCAGGTGAAGTTGAGAACCTCTGTGGGTAGAACAATTGCTTTGTTTCTTAAAAAAATAACAGTGGGCAGCGGGCACCAGTAAATATATTGAAATGGTAAAATGATATAAGACAGCAGTTGGCATCTGAAAAATCTATGACTTCCATATTGATTGGGCTAGCTGTTATTTGTCCTGGATCTTTCGTTCTTTCTTTTAACTTTTCAAATTCAGAAGTGAGAATGTTAGGAGGATCTTCTTAGAAAGATACCCTTCAAAAACTTTCTTCCCCTTTTCATAGTTTTCTAGAATTTAAAGTTCATCTGAATTTAGAAGTGGTGAATCATATCAAGCCATGTACTGCAAGAAGTTTGTAATGCAGCATTTATTATACATTTTGTTATTTAAATATTGTATGGTCAGTTTAGATAATTTAAAAAAATAAAAAAAATAAAATTGGTGCACTGTCCTTTTTCCATTACTCTTTTATTGTGAACAGCTCTCAGGTTTTTATGGAATCATTTGAAGTGAAGGAAAATTCGTGTGTGCTAGCTAATAGAATTCTGTTGGACTACTAGAATGGTACATTTGTGCCTGAGAAGACAAAATAAAGGGTAACCATGAACATGATATCATGGTGCCTAATTGTTAAAGTGCTAAAAAGGATGTGAGAAGGCAAAAAGGGTAAGTAAAAGAATATATGTAATATTCTGAAGTTGTTTACTTTGGGCGTGACAGATGGTTGTGGCTTTTTATCCTCTTTCTGTTTTAAAAATCTCTCAAGAGTTTTTTCCCTCAATAATATGCCTTAAGCAAAAACTTTTGACTGGATTATATTGAGTGAGCACAAGGGTGATACATGTTCTTAAAGCTTCAGTTTTTGTTGATTTTGTTATATGTAGTAATTGTTTGTTTTTAGTTCCCAAGGGGTATTGCCTACCATTTCCTTTTAAGAAGCTAAATTTACCAGAAAAAACAACCTTAATATTTTGGCTTTGTGACTGGAGAGTAGCGCAACTCTTAATTTATCTGTTACCTTAAAGATTTGTTTCTTTGCCAGGCTGACTTTTTTTTCTCTTATATTCATCTGTATAATTCAGCAATTGGTGGAAGAGATCAAAAAACAGATAGCAGTGTTCTGCTTTTTCTCAGTTCACAGGGATTCAGAGAAGTTTCAGCTTGTTGTAAGCTTGACCCTAATAGTGTGGAGATTTGTTCCTATGGCTCTGCCTAGTGTTTCCATTGAGTCAGAAATGTGACAACTAAATTCTATTGTGGTGAAGGCTCCTTTGGTGGCCATGAAGGTAATTATGTGAATTATTGCAGTATAATACATTTATTTAATATTTATCAAGTTCAGACATTGGTGATGAGGTGATAATCTTTTATTGTTCAATTGTAATCCCCTGATGATGTTGTTAAGTGAAATCTGGGGGGCATTGGTATCATTGAAAAATAACATTGTCCAATGTAATTTCCAGTTTCTGGTAGATGCCTGGAAAAGAAATGTTATCAAAACAGTGTTTGTTTTCTCCCTGGTATTCTCCTTTTGACATTTGTATAAAGAACAAACTTGTCTTTTTAATCTGTTGTACGTGTTAAAAGAGAGGACAGAAAATTTTATTGTTGATTTGTATGTATAAACATGATCTTGTAAGAAGGTAATATAATTTGTAAGAAAATCTAAGGGGTTGGTTTAATGGTCAAGAAGGGATTAACTTCTTGGGTTCTGATAATTGCTTTTGACCAATGAAATATCAAAATATACATGTGAGGGACTTTCTAGAAGCACAGGGATACATGAAAACATTGTATAGAATAAAAATATGTTTTGATCCAACCCAACCTTATTTTGGACTTGAAGCCTACTCTCCTTCATCATCTTATCTTCACTTGGAAACGAGTTAATGCCCACATCATTATAATTACAGTTTTAGAATTAGTTTATTTTTTAAATTCAAAATTGTAATCCTAATACTATACTATTAAATAGTATTATTATAAATTGGAATTCTTAGAGGGCCATGACCCGGAGAAGTGGGCTTAAGCAAGCACGTGTTGATATTAAATTAAATGAACATGAAAATGTCTGTCCATGCATGTGTACAACTCATTTCTTTATTTATTTTTCTTTTACTGAAATTTATAAAAGATTAAAAGCATAAGTTAAGAACCTTCAAAAATCAGATTAATCTTCACTCCACCACCACAAACTAATATGAGTTTTAAAAAGTCTCCATCTTTAAAATGGAATATATTTTATTAAATAACTTGATGGAAAAAAGCATAAGGTCTTGTGTTTCTTAGAAGTAGAGTTGGGGCTGACTTTGAATTCATATTAAAAATAACACATCTTGAGCCAATTGTTTAATTAAACAACCATATATTCTCTTCTCATGTGTACAACCAAGCAAATATATATTCAATTTATATATTGTTGCCTTAATCATCTCCCTAATTCAATTTGATTAATGATTAATAGATGTTGGTTTTCCCCCTTGGATTTGCAACTTAAAATATTAATCTAGTGGGCTGTATTGTTTTTAATATATCATCATCCCAACATCTTTCATCATATTCATATCACATGATTGCTCTATTATTTTATTGTTTCAAATCATTCACTTATAACTTCATCATTTTAAATCATTAATCTAATTATTGCCATCTTACCCCACCAACCAAACATGCTTCGCTATTAATTAATATCATACCTTCCCTATACTTTACTCTCTTCCTTTTCCACAAATACCCTACATATATTAATAGATAAAATATTTAGAATTTCAATATACACAAAATTATGTCTTTTTATATATAAAATGAAATTAGTAAATATTTTGTTGGCTAATATGTGCCCTAATTAAATGCACATATTAAGACAACTCTTATATCCCTAACTTTTTCAATATTTTGTTCCAAAATACTTATAAATTTGGATTAATATTATCCCTTATGTAAGATACAATTATGATTCACGACTGAAAATTTGTGTAAATAATTCAAGTTAAAGGATCTCATCCCATTTCTTAAACAGTATATTTTTTTTTTAGATTAATACTCTTACATTGTCTTATAATTCACTATTATTTAATATTTATTTATTATATTAATTCATTTAGTTATATTCTGACACACCACTTGTATTATTCTTTTTTAATTAGGATAAAAATTCCTTACTTTAGTTTTAAATTACTAAGAAATTGATGAGATTAAGTGGTATTTGATGGTTTAATCAAGAAGGGGNAACTATGATTCACGACTGAAAATTTGTGTAAATAATTCAAGTTAAAGGATCTCATCCCATTTCTTAAACAGTATATTTTTTTTTTAGATTAATACTCTTACATTGTCTTATAATTCACTATTATTTAATGTTTATTTATTATATTAATTCATTTAGTTATATTCTGACACACCACTTGTATTATTCTTTTTTAATTAGGATAAAAATTCCTTACTTTAGTTTTAAATTACTAAGAAATTGATGAGATTAAGTGGTATTTGATGGTTTAATCAAGAAGGGGGTATTAGTATATACGTCCTTTGATATAGTGGATGAATTTAAAAATCATACGATATCTAATCCGTACATGCAACACACGTGCAGCCCAACTTGAAGTTAAACATCGATTAACTGAAATAACAATCTTCTAATCAACGATTCGATTAACCGTTAATCACACACTAATCACATGGTGACCAGCTCACTCGGGCACATGGCTTGATACGTGGGACCCACATAAAAATGCTTCAAAAGTGCAACAGAGCTGGCTCTTTTCACCACTTTCTTGGTAATGGTCACACATGCACGTGCGAAAATCCCACATTCAACCGATCCAACGGCCAGGTGAAGTCCATACGTGGGGTAAAGAAGTTGATATGGTAGAATGGGAAGATTAAAAATGATTTGGAGGGGGGTTTGACCGTTGGGGCATCCAGCGAAGAGGAGGTAACTTTGACCAAAAGTCCACGTGCGGGTATCAAATATACACGTGTGCTTTGCTGTCTCGTGGTTGCATAGAAATCTGTGCGCCACGTAGGATTCACATGAGTGGTGGTCAAGTTGTTGAGGAAAGCGGTGGTAGGAGAAGAAGCATTGTGATGGTTAAGACTTCAAGCTCTTTAATTAGATGATTGGGCTTTTCATGGATTTATTTATTAATTGGTGGGTTGAGAAATGAATAAGGTGATACAAGGTTCAAATGATTATTATGAAATAAACATTATTAGAATTTAGCATGGCATATCTCTAAGATATATATGTTTAACCTCGGGAAATTCATAATAAATGTTATAAACAAAGATTTAGATCATAAATTACTTTTAAAGAAGAAAAACAAAAACAATGGCTTTTATGTGACATTACACATCCTAATTGGTTTTGAAATTAGGAAACCACGACCAAAATGATTTAATTTCAAGTTGAAACTGAGAAAAATGGTATTGAATTCAAACTAACAACTGCTCTCTCTTTCACGTGTTGCATCAATAACTACAAAATTTTTATTTGGTTTATTATTATGATGTTTTCTAGGATAATATTTAAAGAAAAAAAAATTGAGTTATTTTTAAGAAAAAAAGTAATTATTAATGTTTTGAAAGTTGAATAAAGTAAAATTGAATTTTAAAAATATTAAAACAAATATATTTTTGAGTTTTTATAATATAATAGTAAAATAGGAACAGGGTATAATATTGATTATTGAACAAAGACCCTTTATTTATTTATTTATTTTTTTTCAGTTTCGCCAAATCAATTATTATTATTATTATTTGGATTTTAACTAATTAGTAAAAAAAAAAATCAACGGCTGAGATTCTTCAATGTATATGATTAAGACAAGACTAAGGCAAGCGAGAGGTCTAATCAGTAGAGTTGTAAGAAGGGGTCCCCAAATAGGAGCCTTGGAACGACAGCCACGTAATACAAAATACGCATCATTTAAACATCTCAATCATCTCAACTTGATGGGAACAAACGGCGGGCCAACTTCACGTGATTTTCACATGGATAACACCCCTGTACGGGAATGCGAAAGTTTGTGGGTCCTTGATTGGATTCTTCCAAAACCAATCTCACATTTATTATGGGTCGGGTTTTTTATTTTTATCATTTATCACTTCCCATAATTTTCATTTTCCAAAATAAAATATAATAATCTATTTTTTTAAGAAGATTAAATAACCAATATTTGGGCTTAACCTAAAAACATCTTGCTTTTTAAATTATCTTGAGAAAACGATCATATTCCAAAATTTTAGCATCTATTTGATTAAATTATTATTTTTAATTAAAAACTAAAGTGCTTGTAGCCAAGTGTAGAAACAGATAGATTTCTATTGATTGGTTATAAATCATTTTGGATTTTTAGTTTTAAAAAAAAAAAAAAAGATAATTTGGTCCAACGGATCCTAAAATTATAT